ACACGCCGATCGAGTATCCGGCGTATAATGTTCACTTCGCGATCTTCGCCGGCTGGAAACCGCTGAGAACCGAGCTGTCCACGCGAGCCGACATCCGCTTCTGCTGTTTACCGCGCATCCTCCGCCAGGCCCGATTAATACCTGGCCGCTCGTCGGATGGGAGGGAACGATTACCGGTTAATGAGTGAGTCGTTGCACAACGGATATGTGTATGACGTTAGGTCGTCGTCGCTCGATTACGTCGACGGAGCGCCGCGTAATCGCCGCGATATCGCGCACGTGCGCGCAAGAAAGACAGAAAGAGAAAGAACGAGGGATAGATAGATAGATAGATAGAGAGAGGGAGAGAAGGAGAGAAAGAGAGACTCGCGTTGAGCAAGTGGAGGAGACGCAGACACCGTGAATTCCGGGGCCTGGGCGATTATTAGCATATATTCTAACGCTCAATTGCGCGCTCGAGCGCGAGCGAACGCACGACGTCGCGAGGCCGCTTCCGCGTTCCCGCCTCGCGGATTCCCGCTCTCTCTCTCTCTCTCTCTCCTTCTCTCGTTTGTTCTCTCGCTCTGCCTGCCCGCCGTACGCACGTCGCTGAGCCGTGGCTAATTAAACGCGTTGCTGGAGAGACGAACGTCGCGGAACATCGCGAGGGATCTCTTCTCCGCGGCCGGGATATTCGCGCGCGCCTCGCTTACGGGGCTCTTGCATTTTATCGCGACTCAGAGAATCGAGATACATATACGGGAGATCACGCATCGTGTCGACGGAATTAACCGGGGTTGGCTATTCGAGAGATCGGCGCGCACGTGTCAGCCGAACGGCGCGTACCTGTTCTACCTTGTTGGCTCGCGAACGTATTGGCGCCGCTCGCCCGCCTTTGCGAATCAAACCCTCGGCCAGCTAATTTCGTCCGGTGTCCCGTTATTTCGGGACGTTTCGCGCCTTTTTTCACCGCAGTCGGCCGTCGGCTGCGTCCTGGCGACGCGCCAGCCTCGAGATTCGTACGTCTGAACGCATGCATGCAAGCGGGCACGTGGAAGCGCGACGACGTGCGAGACCGCTCTCGTGCACACACGTGCGATCGGTCTCTCATGCCTGAACCCGGCGAACGAGTCGGGCTCTCTATCTCTATCTCTCTCTCTTGTCTTCTTCCTCGTTCCTCGATCGTCTGCTCTTCCGCTTGTCCCCGTTCGGCCGGCTGAAATGTTACGGCACAGGTGGAGCGCTGCCAGAAAGGGCACACGGTGGGTGCGAGGGAGAGCTGATAAATGAACGGTGCTAATTGAATTCTCCGTCGAAACTCGCCGTGCGAATCGCGCGATCGAGGTGTGCGATTTTGAACGCACTCCGGGGAAGGAAGAGAGCGACAGGAGGTTCCGCGACCGTCGCGTTTAATACACCGGCGGCGGATAAGGTTTCGCTGAAATTCTGCACGCGTCTTTGAAAATCGAGAAGTCTCACTGTGTACGTTTCTGCGAGACGCCTTCGTTGCCAATGTGTTCAGCTGAAAGTCGCTCGCTACGAGAGAACTCGGGCGATACTTTTGGTGTAATGATGCTTAATATGATGCATGTTCACACTGAAATTACGTGCGAAAGGGGGGAATTGAATATTTGACACGCGTGCGGCGAGGGTCCACTGCTAAAATCGCGACGCAGCCCGGGCTCCTGGGGAAAACGAGTTGACAGCGCGCGTCCCTCGGCAACCACGTGCTCACGGAGGCGTTCTAGGCGACATGCGAAACCGTGGGCGTTTCTGCAAACCACGTCATCCTCGCTGTGCCTGGTACAGTCAGTGAAAATCCGGTTAGTCCGGATTCCTGGCTGTACAGCCGCTAATTCTGCCGGCAAGGGCGCTTCCGTAACGCGACTCGTGCGATATCGTTTTCGCGACCGCGCGAACCCAGGATAGCATTCAGTGCGTAGAGACACGTGAGGGAGGCTGAGAGAGAGAGAGAGAGACGAAACAAATAAAGAAAAGGGGAGAGCCGTTCGTTCACGAGTTTCTCAATTGTTGTAACGCAACAACGTGGTCGTCCGCTGACGAACGTCGCGCATCTCGCACTGTCGTCGCTCGTCGGTTTATCTTATCTTTATTGAGTCAATTCCCTCGGCGCTTCCCAAACGATTTGTACGTAATAAAGCGCAATAGGCCGTTATTAACTTATTATGTCTCAATATTTCCGTTTCGAAGCCGCGATTGTCTCGCGTCAAGGATGTACAAACCCGCGACTCCCCCCCCCCNCCCCCCCCCCCCGTTTCTCCCACGACTGCTTACTGAAGGAAAGAGGTAAAATAATAAAATCACGGTTTTCGGTTCAGAGAGAGAGAGAGAGTGAGAGAAGCCGAAATCACGGTGTCTCCGCAATTTTCCGCATAATCGGGATCAAGTTGAGATGTAGCGAAAATAAGTGTCCCTCCTCAGAACGATAGTCAGCAGGAGAAGGAGCAGGATCTTGGGGATAAATATTATCGGTCGTCCACCGCCGACGATTTCGCGTGTGCCGAAGAGAACCCGCTGAGTCACCCGTTGGCTATCGACGACGATTTCTTTCTCATTCACTTTCCGAAACGGTCCTGCGGCCTTCACCCTGACCGCCGCGGTGCACCGGCGGGAAAGACAGAGAGGCGATTGTCCCGTCGCGGCCAATTAACAACATTCTAGCGTCGATACTAACGAGGTTTCGCAGAATACGAATGATCGGGGATCGTCGAGGCCTCGACGGGCCGCGAAAACTCGTCGCGACTTTTTTCCTCGCTTTTTCTGACCGGCCGAAAGTGGGGAGTGTCTGGTCGTCGTGATTGATGACGCGTTTCTCGGTCGTGTTGGTGTTAGCTATATCGGCCGATTCTTTTTGCGTAATTTTTGCAGTTTCGAAAACTCCTGATGGTACTCGCGCGTGGAGTATGCAGAGATGATGACGCGAAAGATACACACGAGGGAAAAGACAGAAGATACTTTGTTGCATCTCACTATGGAACGAGTTGCTTTTATCGCACCGTTGATGAATTGCATGTATTGTATTAAAGCATGAGAATTTATTTAACGCATGCTAATGTTTTCGTTTTTATATGTATTGACAGATAGGTCAGATGGCGTTGTTCACAGCTCACTCTTATATTTAATATAGTCGTCATACGCAGTAGAAAATGCAGCAACAATTTTATGTTAATAACGGTCCATGCAAACTTTTGTGTTACTTTAGTATGGAAAATAACACGGGGATAGTAGTACTGGGATAAATATATGTTAATTTAACATATATTTGTGTGCTTCATAACGTAAATTCCTAAATGTTAAAGTAAAAATTGGAGTAGAGCTCTATTAACGCATCGTTTCTTATACACAATTATTTGTGCAGTCATAATCATTATTACATCAACTTAAATAACTAATCACAATCATGATCATTAAAATAAATAACTGATCATAATCGTGTACATAGTCATAGTCATATCGTAATCATATCACGGGGATAATCATTGTAATCATTGCAAATCCTTTGGCTGAAACTCTTCTTGCACATTTCCTACACGTATCTTACTGTTTTAAATCACATCGTTTAACACGATTGGATGTGTTAACACGTCGTAATTTAACGTGTTAATTCAACACAATTAAACGTTTTAAATGACGTAAGCAAAAAAAAACGCATACAAATAGCTTTTGTCAAATGTGTTATTTTTAGATGTTTTATGCGTGTAAAAATAACACACTTGAATTTACAGTGATCTACGAGGGTGGTCCCTGAAGTACCCGAAAACACAAAAATTTTGGAAAAAAATGTATTTATTTTTCAATATAATCTCCTTTCAGCTCTATACACTTTTCCCAGCGATGTTCAATAAGTTCGATATCCTTTTTATAATAAGAACTGTCTTGCTTCTCAAAATAACCATTAACTGCCGACATCACTTCTTCATCGTTGGAAAATCTTTGACCACTGAGCCATTTTTTCAAGTTTGGGAACAGAAAATAATCCGAGAGGGCGTTTGTTACTGCGAAACTTTGCTAAACACTCAATTGAAACATCTTCACGACACTGTTTTTGCTCGAGTGTGAGCAAACGCGGCACCCATCTTGCACACAGCTTTCTCATGTCCAAATTTTCAGATAATATGCGATGTACCGCACATTTTGAAATGCTTACTATGTCTGCTAGCTCGCGCACTTTCAGTCGACGATCATCCAGTACCGCTTTGTGGATTTTCTTCACCATTTCTGGAGTCGTCACCTCGTTTGGTCGACCACTGCGATGCTCGTCTTGGCAGCTCGTACGGCCTCGTTTAAACTCTGCTACCAAATATTTTACTTTTGTAAACGAAGGAGCAGACTCACCCAGAGTAGAATCCAGTTCAGCTTTTATATTGGTTGGGCTGAGGCCTTTCAAATAAAAGTATTGTATCACATAACGATGAACAATTTTCTCCATTTTCACAAATTCACTGAAAACGTTCACTATTGATGGCTGCCAAACAAATACTACACAACGTGGCGTCTTCAAACTTGAAACATATGCTTTATAGATTGTGTACTTTTTAATACAGTGATATTTTTCAAACAACTACCGCCATCTCTAGGTCAGGTCGGATAGTTCAGGGACCACCCTCGTAGTTTCCACTGATCATCTGTACGAATATTATTTATAACAATCCTTACATATGAGGCACAAAAAAGCTCTTTTTTCCTCAGAAGGGATAGAAAATAGAGATCACCAAATAGGAAAGAATTGCAGGCCAAGTACTAATACGGCTGCCTACGTGAAATCCGTTTGTCATTACTGAATACCTTGCCAAGCTTCAATATTAGCCGAATATGTACAATTCCTACGGGGTGTGTCTTTTGTTTCTTTCCTTTTCTGTTCCTCTTTATTGGTTCATGTGTATAATATACAAATCTAGATGCTTTGCAATTTTGGTTCTTACGCTTGCGTTTAACATTTACTTTATCCTAATGATCGAACAGTTCATTTCTTAATATTCTGTCTATTCGTTTCGTTATAGAAGAGGAGGAAATCGATGTAGTGAATTACGACAACGTCCACCGATTGAGAAGTATCCAAGGTATCCACGTCTCCAATCAATTGCCCGGCGCGAACAACCTAGCAATACCTGTTCGCCGGCCGCGCGGCCGTCCACGCAACTCAGCTCGGAGGCGGTCCGCGGAAGAACTCGAGGACGAGGAAGAGCAACCAGATCCTAAGCGACCGAGAAGACGTCAATCCTCCCAGCAAGGAGCAGCTGGAAGCAGTTCCCAAGATCTTTCGTCGCAGGACAGGAGGGATCTGCACAACAGGATGGAGAAGGAGAGGCGGATTACTCTGAAGAACCTCTTCGACAACTTGAGGGAGGAAGTTCCTAACATCAAGTCAAACTCTAGGACCTCTAAAGTAGCTATTCTTACTGAAGCAACGGAATACATCAAAGAATTGCGAAAATTAGAGAAGATGATGGAAGAGGGAATGAGAAACGTAATAAAAGAGAAAAGATTGCTGAGGGCCAAGCTCATGGAGCATGGAAGGAAAGCACGAAAGATGCGTGGGGCGCAATCAGCGAATGCGCAATCAAAATAGCACGCATTGTCGCCAGATCGCGCTTCACCTACCTGCTCCATGTCGCATGCTCTCGAACACCGTCCAGCTGAGAGCAACGATGACACGAAATATCCAGTGCGACGAGTAGCCACGTCTCAGCTAAAACATGATGCAGAGGCCGTGATATACGTGGCACGGACGGTGTGAGGAAAGGATCAGCCAACCGGGAACGTCAGCAGCATATCAGCGAATTTTCGGGGTCCCGGTGCGGAGAATGAAGACAACGCGGGAGTGCGAGACCAACGTCGCGGACAGTCTCGACGAGAGAGAGACTCTCGCGCAACGGATGATCGACAGGGTGTACGTACGTTACCAAATCAGGATACAACATTTATCCGTAAGGAAAACGTACACCTCGCTTTTATCCCCCTGCCACTTCACCGGCTTTATCTCTAGGGGGGGAGGCATAATTTATGCAAATATTAAATGCATAAATTCATGCAAATGAAAAAAAAGATTTGCCTATAATGTGTACATAATGATGATATGTGTATGATATGCGATGAATGATCGATATACACGCCTGAATGTACACATTATATCATTCCGGTTACCATCTTATCGGATATCTTATTCGGTTACCGCGGAGAACGCCTTACCGTACGCTAATAAGAGTTCATCGTTTCGGCTTTGGTTCGCTGAATCCGCGGTTCGAACTAAAGCAGCAAATTACGACGACACGCCCGCCCATGTTTGAATAAGGTTGTCAGCAACTGCCGCGATAAAGAGCTGACTCCAACGTCTTGCGCGACTTGCTTTATTTACGCGGTGGAAATCAAAACGTACAATATTATCAATCGGACAATAACAGCCCGCGCGAATACCGACTTTGAAGTAAAATATCATTCTTCGTGCTTGAACATTCATGTTGGGATTTTGGTCGGACTTCCTTATCGTTCCAGAAACGAGGGAAAATCACATTGAACTTCGCTCTTTTACTCCACAGAACTTCCCCAGTGCTACATTTTTAAGAGGGTATTCTCATTTGAAATGTTTTCGGAATTTCTTTCTTATTATTTTGCTAACACAGAACGCCGAAAGTTGGTCGCCACGTTTCCGAACGTCGTAGGCTTCTGAATCTGGAAAAAATTATTAAACTATGAATTTGTAGCTATCGTCCCTACTACGATGAAATCAATATTCTCAATATTTCGATTTTTTTAAAGATCCTCAAAGCTAAAAACAAGTGGCCGAAAATCGATTTTTCTCTTCCAAATCATGTTATTTTGTCAAAAATCACTTTTATTCTTCATTCTGCTGAAAATTATAACTACAAGTTTATAGTTTAATCATTTTTTTGCTGTTTCGATTTCAGAAGTTTGCAACATCTGAAATCGTGGCAACCTTGCAAGCAAAACTCTCATTCACATGCACAAATTTATTTATTACATTATTAATTTTGATATGATAATAGAGATAATAATATGTAAATTACCGTATATAGTCAACACATGGATAAATATTTCCACAAAACTTCAAAATCATATTTAGATTATTATATGTATAGATTATTATATGTATAGATGAATATATATATAGATTTTCCAAAAAGAAATTCTAAAAATCATTTATATAAATCGACGTTTCAAATGAGAATATCCTCTTAAATTTTTTAAAGTATATTTTGGATTTTTTCCAACGAATTAAAATGTTCTCTGATTTGCTAACTTTATCCTTCATAATGACGACTATTGCAACATCTATGAATCTATCCATTTTTAGTTTACTTTATTTCGGCCTTGTAAGTGTAGATAGATAGATGATAGACATTAATTCATAAAAAAAATTAGCTAAATCCAAAAAAAAAATTAAAAATTTGATTAGAATTAAGATAAAATGAAAAAAAAAATAAAAAAAATTGAAAAAATTAAAAAAAAAGTTAAAAATTAAAATTTGAAAAAGTAAATTAGGATTAAAGTAGCAAGAATTAGATTTGTAGATCGATAGATCGATAGATTCATAGATGTCCAGGTTAATGTAGCACATCGTTCTGAAAAAAATGTCTAAATCTACGAAAGACTCCATTAATGCAGTTTCATTCCATTGAGAAAGTGACATCGAAAATTTCCAATCAAGCGCATCATTTTTGTATATTTGCGCATCACAAAACTGCTGCTTTGTCGATTTACCGAATATTCAACAGTCGTGATGCATGAATATTCGCACATAATGTTACTGAGTGGAAATTCTCGATGTAAGGAATGGAACTACAGGGAGGGGAGACTTTACCTAGAGAATTGGACTGCACTAATAGAATCTTCCGTACGAGACAAAATTTATAAACAAAAATAAAGTTCAATGCGATTATATATGTATATATATGTGCTATCTGTACCGCTTGAGCCAATTCGATCACTGACATAAGTATTTAAGCGTAAAAAATCCGTTCTTTTCTGTTACATCCAACTGGTACACGCGCGACCTATTATTCTCGAACGTATTCTGATCCATCGCGTAGATAAAGCGATCCGCTCAAGTCGTTAGCGGAGGCCTTATCACGATATCATCCAACAACCTGATTAGTTCTCTATGGCCGGTTTTCTATATTCTTGGTGTGAAAGAAAGTATAAAAGTGAAAAGAGACGCTTCTACTTCGGTTCAACACTAAGTTGGCTTGTACTTCGGTGCAGCAGTAAGTTGATTCCTAATATCCAAATTGAGGAAAGCAATCAGAAAATCAGGACGTAAAATCCAAATCAGATAAGCAAAATCTTATTATAAAACTGGTAGTGTGGTCGTCCATATTTGGTATTACGGGCATCACAGAGCTGCGTGGGAATTATCTTACGTTAATCAAAGAAATTTGGAAAATATGTCTACATATACACTAGGCATGATTATTTTCTAAAATTATAATGACTGTTTATAAAAACAACTCTCGTAATATCGCAATAATTTCAGAAAATAAGTTAAACATTATTTAGGGATATATTGTTGCAATATATATATATATACATACATATATATTGCAATATATATTGCAAAAGTTGATTCCATCTTTTAATCAGTGTTTCGTTAAAAAATCCCAGAATATCTACGGCTGCAGAATCACATAGCTTCTGGGGAGATGCAGGTTATCGAAAAAAGCGACATATTTGAAATTCATTGATTGATTTGATTGATTGATTGACATATTAAAATAAATGCATTTATTTTTTATACATTTTGATTAATGAATGGTATTAACTTTTGTATAAATTAAAAAAAATTTTTAATACTAGGAGATTGTTCAGGAACATTAATTTTTCTAAATAATTTAATAGTCGCATAATTAATTAAATTAAGTAATTTTTCTAAATTATTTAGTAATCGAATTTTTCGAAGTTAAAACGTTCGAGACGAATGAGAAATCGACAGACTCGTAGATCTTGCTGAAACCTTTGGAATTAATCCTAGCTGACCACGCTTATTTTCGAGTCTTTAATTCACCATACTCCGGTCCATGAGACCGCCCGATTTTAACGCCTTGTCGCTTTCATTCTGATTAATATTTTAAGCTTGTGATGTGGGAATCGTGGAAATGCAATATCTAAATAAGATGTGATGATCAGATGAAGAAAATAACTCGAGTTTGAACTAAATTATTAATTAATTAATTAAACCGAAAAAACGTTCAGCGGTTCACTGGACCGAAATGTGGCGAACTAGGATTAAAACGTAGCGCCGAGTTCACACGCAATACGGAAGATTGTGCGGCCGCTTTCGGATACGATACAGTTGGTTGGAGTAGGTAGAAAAGACGCGGAGCATGAGTGACGATGAGTCAGTGTCGCCAGTAGGTAGAAATAGCTTTTGCGGCGGTGTGTCGGATATTATACGGGCAGTCTGGGCGTGTGCGTGTGCGGCGTATTCACGCTGGCACCTTATCCGTAATCTAAATGTGCGAGTAACCAAAAGCGGCCGTTTCTTCACGAATTCGACGCATTGTGGAGCGATATTTTCAGTCGGTTCGTTACGTCTTTGTTACGTCGTTTGTTACGTCGCTTTTATTTTTACCGCACACTCCAAGTGGTTATCAAGTGAACCAACGAGTCATGAATTCTCTCTACCTCCAAAAAATTGAAAATCACCGTATCAAGGGGAGCAAATCGGGTTTTCGGAACTTTCAGAGTCAAAAACAATTGCCTATGCTTTTGTTTGGTGCAATAAAAATTGGCAAGATCCGTCACAGCGGATTGTTTCTTGATTCTTCGTGAACTTTGTTCCCTAATTCTCGATCGATGAGGAGGAAAATGAATTTAAGCCTAGCAGCTTTGATTTGCGATACTTTAATTCGCCACGCTCCGGTCCATGAAATCGTTCGATTTTTGTCGCCTTATCATTTTCATCCAAATCAATATTTTAGACTTGTGATATGGGAATTGTGGAAATACAGCGTCTGAACAAGATGTTTGTGATATTAGATCAAGAAAATGATTTGGCTTTAAACTATACTTATTAATACTTGGGAAATGTGAAAACTGGAAAATCGAAAAAATTTGCAGCAGTCCAACGGGTCGGAATATGGCGAAGGTTATATATATATACGTTGGGAATTGTTTCAAATATATTTTCTTATTTTTAATTACGAATTAACGAATCAATCCTGTAAATTTAACTTAGATCCGGGCGATTCAGGAAATTTACTTTAATATCGTCAAATCGTGTCTTCCTCATTTTTTGTTTCTTTCTGTGGATTGTACGAATGAATCCAGAGGATAACACGAAATCCCGATTTTACATATCCCGCGTATCGCGGGTTGACATACGCTTTTATTATACATACACGTGACATGTACAGAACTCGGCATACGAATGTACACAAACCGGCATGTAAATTCCCACATAATATACAGATACATAAATTGTGTACATATATACACTCGCATCGACATGGACACGTATACAAAGATGCATCAGGATGATGCACCAACATTTAGGTCATTACGATGGGTTATTTACTTGCTTGCTAGCAGGCGCACGCTCGTGTACGGATTCAGTAGGTCTTGGCGTTGCGTGTATTTTCATTCGAAAAAATGTACGCGGATTTGCGCGTCGAAGCCAAATGAACCCGTGGATACAATCCGATGGCCTGTATATTAGTGCAACACCTTGAACATTTACATACGTTATTACGTTTAATACGATAGACGAAGTAGTAGTGATGAAGATTATATAAAAATTATTTTTTTTTATTGTCATTATTATCAATATGTTCTTATATCTTCATTATCATATTATAGATTTATTATGCCTATAATATATCGTTGTTATCAATTTTAGCTTATTATCGGAACGTCATATTACACATTTTACATGAAACTTAATCGCACCACGTCAATCAACGTGGAAATATAGATATGCGGTCGTACGTTGTAGTCATGTTGCACAGTTTAAAATACTAAGATGCTAAATGAGTGCATATACACACACGATTCTCATACTCTCTCCTGCCTCCCTTTCTCGATTTTTCTCTCAGCACGTAACACATATACAAAAACCGCATGCCATACATAATTACATACATAACACACAAGTTTCAATCTATTCATCTATTATATATATATATATATATATATATATATATATATATGACGTTTCGATAATACACTAAAATGTACTACGTAAGTGTACAGTATGATTGTTAGGTATACATAAAAAATATAATTAACGATATATATACATATAATAATACCACAGACTTATATACACAGACCGAGCGCTCCATACAAGAGACAGTGAGAACTTGATTTGGAAAGGATATTCTGTTACCGCAGGCACTCTATCTTCGTCCAGCTCAATTCCTATTGGACAGAGCGAAGATCGACTGCCTGTGAACAATGTTGGGTGATGTAACCACCCTTCAATCTTCCCTTCGAATTTTTTCAAAATGAAAAAGCGCGGTCTATATATACAAGTCTATAAATAATACGGATGATTATATATGATGCGCAAAAACACACTGACAGTCAAGACCATTCGAAGACACGAGCAGGATATATGTCTTCGGGTGAAAGTTTTATACAGATATTACTATAATCCAGCTATAGGGTGAGGAAAAAAGAGGGGGAGGCAAAATGATGTGTTCATTACATTTGTAGGCAACAGTATTTGTTTGTACGTTATACGTACTTTTTACTATCGAGATGTTAAGGACGAACGCGAAGGTGAGATACCTTTCGTGCGCGTACAGCTTTTCACTTCACACATTTACACGCATGCATATGCACACCACACACAGATATACAACCTGAAAGCTCGCGCACTTTACAGTAGGCCGAATTAAAGTTATAAATAATAGACAATGTCGAAGGATGAAGAGGGGCGAAAGATGAAAAGGAGGTTTAGAGCATACGAATTGAGATAGTCGCGTCGATAAGAACGAGAAACAAAAGGGCAAAAGGGTCAGAAATCATCGGGAAAT